TTGTAATTTGACCTCACAATCATGCTATTAGTTTTTGCTGTATTCAATACCAGCTTATTTGCTTTCACCCATTTATCCACTCCCACTAGTTCGTTATTCATAATAATTTCTAATTCATTATTTGTTCTTGCTGATGTATATATAGTGGAATCATCTGCTTACATAATTATTTTAGTGCTTTCGAGTATGTATGGTAAGTCATTTGTAAAAATTGAAAATAATAAAGGACCCAGGCAGCTCCCTTGAGGTACACCACATGTTACAGTTTGTTTTTCAGAAAATGCACCATTAAAATATGCTACGGAAACCGCGGCAGACCAAACCAGATGAAAGTGCGCATTCAGCTCGGCAAAGAACTCATGCTCTTCCTCAACACTGAAGTCCTCAGACATTTTTCTTTCGTTGTTTCTTTCTTTGCACAGGTAAACAGCACATTTCTTCTTCTACGCTTGCATTATTGGCAGAGCAGACGCTGAATGCGTACTTTCATCTGGTTTGGTCTGCCGGCTTCCGTAGCGTCGTGAACGCGCATGTGCGCGCTTTCAGGAAATCCTATACACTACTGTTTATGCTCTAAAAAAATTCTAAATGACTTCGTTTCGAGTAAATTCTGGATGCTACCCACTCAGGACACTTGGAATACATTGGACAAGCAGTATGGAGGAATATTGACACGTTTTTTGTGGACTTTTATGGACCTTTCTGTCTCGGTCACCATAGACCTCCATTATTTGAATGTCAGCAGACAGCAAGAAGTCTCCCAGATCTCCAGATGCATTTGAGATATCAAAAAAGTACTCCAGGGTGTTGTTCAGCATGGGGGTGAGTAGAAAATGAAGGCTAATCATGTTTTGGGTGTACTGCCTTTAAGCACTTAAAAACAGCCACAGGTGACATTTCAGGTGAGCTATTAGGTTTGCTGTGTTTAAAAAACCTACAGCCTTTTTCCTCCTCTTGGCTTTCTTAGCAAACCAAGAAAAAATAACCGCACTACTGAAGACATGTTTGTTAATTAACAGTCAGTTAATGAAGGACCCATATTTGGGTCCTGCTGGTAAGGCGCTCAAAACCCTGCTTTGGGGCTGCTCTGCCTGAATAAAATGACACCAAATGTAATTGATTTATCTGCTGCTGGCCAACGCTCTGACCACTGAGCGCAATTGACTGTGACGTAGGAAGCGCGACAGCAAGCTGGTGGGGGAGTGTAAACAAACAGCCTGTCAGTAAAACGGTGAATACGTCCTTCTTAAAAATGAATGAGCGTAGAGCCTCTTCCTGCTCACGTTTCAACAAAAACCCAAAGTCTAATCTTTCCAAACCTGATTCCAAAGCTGAATCAAAAATCACCATCAGAGCCAGCGGTTCTTCACACACGACTATTCCGAGAGAGGGCCGCTGCAGATGGACTGCCATTAGTCCTGGCTGCCGTTAGCCCTGGCTGCCGTTAGCCCTGGCTGCCGTTAGCCTTGGCTGCCGTTAGCCCTGGCTGCCGTTAGCCCTGGCTGCCGTTAGCCCTGGCTGCCATTAGTCCTGGCTGCCGTTAGCCCTGGCTGCCATTAGCCCTGGCTGCCGTTAGCCCTGGCTGCCGTTAGCCTTGGCTGCCGTTAGCCATGGCTGCCGTTAGCCCTGGCTGCCGTTAGCCCTGGCTGCCGTTAGCCCTGGCTGCCGTTAGCCTTGGCTGCCGTTAGCCCTGGCTGCCGTTAGCCTTGACTGCCGTTAGCCCTGGCTGCCGTTAGCCTTGGCTGCCGTTAGCCCTGACTGCCGTTAGCCCTGGCTGCCGTTAGCCTTGGCTGCCGTTAGCCCTGGCTGCCGTTAGCCCTGGCTGCCGTTAGCCCTGGCTGCCGTTAGCCCTGGCTGCCGTTAGCCTTGGCTGCCGTTAGCCCTGGCTGCCGTTAGCCTTGACTGCCGTTAGCCCTGGTTGCCATTAGCCTTGGCTGCCGTTAGCCCTGGCTGCTGTTAGCCTCGGAGCTCCACTGGTTGCCGCTGTCCTCTGAACTTCGAAAATAGTTTTTTTAATTACGCATTATATCATTAAATGGACCATATAGTGACGCTTTAAAGTATAATATTCTCGCTTCAAATGATCTTAAAACATACTTTTATTGAGCAACAGAAAGAGAACTTTTAATTTCAAGTGAAGAGAGTAACATATAGAAAGACAAATGATTGAGAGCAATATAAAACATCTAAATGAATAAAATGATAAAAACAACAGAAATCATAATAACTCCAGCATCTCCCTCTTGTTTTACATTTTATTCATATGAGGTAACACATCTTACTTCAGGATTTCCACCACTTGCTTTTTGCATTTTCAGTGGGTCTGTCACTCCGTTACCCCTTTTATTTTCTTTTTTTATTAAAAGCTGTTTCTTGCTCCAGACGTTCAGCATCACGTAGCAACTGGTATTGAAGCATAGCACTTCCTATAACTCTATTAACCATTGACTTAATGCATGGAAACACACACATAGCAACAAGGCAGAGCATTATGAGAATCACAATAATTGGGCTTAAGATTTTAAGAATCCAGTGCCACCACGGACCTGTGGTTAGCCATGTCCAGAAGTCCCACTGAGTACCCTGATTATCACCACTCATGGCTCTCTCCTGATCGATAAGAGCATTCATAGCATCTTCAATATGAGTTTCATTTTCACTAGATATGTAAGTAGAACAGGTAGCTCCAATCAAAATACAAACACCACCTTGACTACCAGCTAACATGTCCAGAACCATTCTATTTTGTAGCACCATCAGACGCAGTTCACTTAGAACTTTACTTTGTCCTTTGTTGATATCCACTGTGATATTCACCAGAGATTTCAGTCTGTAGTCCATAGTCTCTATGTTTTCCCAAGCCGATGGACACTGGTGCACATGTACCTGACCAATTGACTGGTAAGGAGGGGTAGACTTTGTTGCCTCCACACAAGTACCAGCCTGCTTCCACAGGGTGAGGGGGTGTGTCATATTGGGGGGGGAAAGGGTTCAGCATTGGCAAACGTCACCCCCAGACAGTTGGTGTCTTTTCCAAGGTGCACGGATCCTTTTGTGCGGTTCTTAGAGACACAGAGAAGATGTTTCTTTTTCTTGTTGACGAAGACCTTAAAAGGTGTCGGGTAGCCTGTGACATTGAACGAATTGTCTGGAAACACATTTGTAGAATTGCAGCACTCCACACACCATAGTTCAGTCTGGTAGGAGGTTAACTGCTGAACAGTTTAGGCTGTTGTGTCGATGTGGGGCTTAACAGAGCAAACATAGCAGTTAGTCTTATTCTGTTGTTCAGCCAGCATAGTCACATAGGCTTTCCACATATTGTCATGATGATTTGAGGAAAGCTGGGTCATCCAGTGAGACGTCTTTGACCCACGTACCCATTTCCTGTTGCATCTTAGAGTGATGGTTTATGACAGCAGTAGTAGTAGACACGCTGCAGCCACAACACAGAGGAGACCCCCATCTCCATGTTTTCACACACGTTTAGTGGGTTCTTGGTTACTCTTTGGATCCAGTTTGTGGGGTTTTATCCAGAGATGAAAGAACTCGTTGGAGGGCGGACAGAAAAACTAATGTTTGATCCAGAGGAGTAATGGAGCAGACTGTCACTTGGATTTGCGATGGGAACTTGAAAGGATCATGTGGAGGTTTTCCCCTGCTCCGTGTATTCTCAGTAATTCCTTCCAGGGGGAGAAGGTTTAGACATTCAGTTTTACAGGAAGGCTTCATGTCGATGAGCAAAGACAAAAACACATTAAACTCAGAGAAACAAAGCTAGGTTAGACTCTGCTAATCTCAGCTTGGCTAGAGTACCCAAAACTGGCAAACACTCTGGCATCGAGGTAGTGACAGCCCGCTGCTCAAATACTCCTCTGGAGATGACCCAACCAGCCGCAGGTGTGCGGGGAGGCCCAAACGAGGACAGGGCACCATCTAGTGGTGGAAAAAGAAAACACAAAAACAACCCACACAAACTGAAATCCTAACAAGCTGCATATTAGGAGAGAAATATTCCCTGTGTGATAACTTCAAAATGATTTGTAGCATGGGGTTGGCTAAATATTCAATATTAAATAATGAAATAGAGAGAGCCTAGAAGGTGAAGGCAACTGTATTGCTCCCGGTCATTAGAGCATGCAGGGCAGTAACCTCCAAACTGAAGAAATAGCTCCAACAAATACCTGGAGAAACATCACAGATCTCAGTCCATAAATGCTTAGTTCTAGGAATAGCACAAATACTGAGAATAACCCTCAAGCTCGCAGGCCTCTGGTAGAGGATCTGAACAGGACATGAAAGAAACCACCCACCCCACTGGAGGAGGAGGGGTTGGTGAGAGGGCAGTTTTATATATGTCATTTATACATTTTCTTATATATCTTTAATTTCCATCTTTTTTTTGCATTCAATGGCTCACTAAGTTACATTTTAAGCTATTATTTCACCAATTGATAATAGTAACGAGTCTTTTATTTATGTTTCTTTTGTTTCTTTTATGGAAATATTGCTTCTCCATTCTGGACAATATATTGTAGTTAACTCTATGTTAGAAGTGAAAACATAAGTTTGGTGTGACAGTTTATGTGCTTGAAGTGTATTTCCTTTTATTTACAACAAACTAATTTAATTTGGAAGATGGGATATTTAGGAACCAGCCCTTTGAACATGTATTTGAATAATAGAACTCTTTCCTGTAGTTTGTTCCAGAGTCTGTTGGATTGCAAAAGCAACCACCTGCGCTGCAGGGCTTCTATAAATCTGAAAAGCATTCCTGTAAATTTTTATGCAGTTATACAAAATTGTTTCATACACCCTGCTTTTCATATACCCCCATTAATGTCATATAATTACATACAATAGTTTTATCTTACATTTTTAAATCTTTTTCCTTTTGTCACACAACATAGAAACATGTGTTTCATCTGTTCTGTTTAATATGCAACTTTTTTGTTTTATTAAATCATAGTTTCTATTTCTATTTCTCTCTCTGTCTCTTCAGACTGAATTACTGTTACCTCTCAGAGAGAAGCTGTGAAGCTCTGGCCTCAGTTCTCAGCTCCCAGTCCTCTAATCTGAGAGAGATGGATCTGAGTAACAACAACCTGCAGGGTTCTGGATTCAAGCTGCTGTTTTCTGGACTGAAGAGTCCAAACTGCAAACTGGAAACTCTCAGGTCTGAACATCCGTCCAAGTTACATTTGGATGTTTTATAATGTTTAATGTTTATGTGATAAACCTAGTGAGAATTGGAACATTTTTACTGCAAATTTAAAAAAAAATCGAAACTCACAGTTCTGAATGTTATTAATTACTTTATTAGTTACATAACATTGAATAAACCGTAAAAGGACTAAATTTATGAAGCTCTTTCCAAATCATACTTAACTCTCAATGTGTTGTCAATCTTGGTCACATTGATCCTATCAATCTCTCTAATGTTCACACTTTGACTCATCAATAATCAGACTGATAAACACTTAGAGTTTAATGCGTTGCCCAAAGGAATTAACATGTCAAATAGGAAAGCTGGAGTAGTCGACCAACCTAGCAACAGCATTCCAATAGAAAGTATTACAGGCTTGGAGGTGCAGTAGTCTGTATATTGAATGAATAAAGCATTATTTTCTTTCTGAAGACATGCAGGATGTTTTTGTTTTAAGTGAGCAAACAGAGAGGATTCCCAGATGCCATTAAACAATTTGTGAACTTTATGGTGTCTCATTCAGCTACAGTGATGATGGAGAAAGAATGTTACCATGCCACACATTTATCAGTACACACGTGTCAGGTGATGCATCTATCTATAATAAAATCAAAATACTACTGATCAAAGCAAAAATCTAAATCATTTTTTTTTTTTATTTGCCTTGAATGAGGTGTGATAAAACATCTTTGACTTTAAAAAACTGAAAACATATTAAATAATATTTTTATGCATAGTGCTGTCTGTGTTACTTTTTTTGCTTATCTAAGTATTGATGCCATCAACTGGTTTTCCTTAGATAATAAACAATTTGACTGGATGATCTGGTGAACTGGAAAGTGCATTGAGATGACATGTGTTGTGAATTGGTACAATAGAAATAAACTGAATTGAATTAACCCTGGCTGAGTTAAAGGAGGGAACAAGGCTTCACTCTCTGCTGATCTCACTGCTCTGCAGCTTCTCATCTCCAATGTTGGACATGTCTGTGGGGCTGTGGAGAGAGGAGAAGTTAGGAACTGATGATTATTAGCAACATCTGACCTGTAGAAGATGTGAAATCATAGGCCAGTTCAGGCTCTGTCTCCTCCATCAGGTTCATGTTTCATTTAGTGATTTCATCAAGTCTAAAGTCATGAAATGAGTGACTGGAGTCTGACCTGAGTCAGACCTCTGAGCAGTTCATTCTTCTCTCTAGAATCACCAGTAGTGTCCTTCATCCAGCTCAGTCAGCCTCTTCATCAGTTGCTTCAGTTCCTTTGAGTCTCTGATGCTGCAGCTCCATCAGATGCTGCAGATAAAACTGAACTTTCCTTCACAGACTGATAGAAGATCTGCAGCATCTGACTGCAGATGCTGCTGCTGCTAAAACCTTCAGTGTTGTTCTGTGAACATGAAGCCTGAGCTGTTTGAACCTGTTGCTCAGCTTCTCTGTTTGTCTCCATCACTGTGGTTCAATGGAGCTTCTAACCAAAGCAGAGACACAGCAGGTCTGCAGCTGAACCAGGACCTGAAGAGACTGAAGAGATTCTCTGTGGTGTCAAACAGGACATTGATGAGGATCAGTGATGGTTAATGAGGCATCTTGAAGCCAAACTGGATTGATGCTGCGTTGATACTGTCTCACAGAATACTGACACCTTCTGGACATTTAAAGACACTACAGGCAGCTTATTGGACAGACTAAACTGAATTGATTTGATGACCTAGTACAATGATATCATTTAAATTATTGGAGGTTATATTGTATTATTTCACATCTATGTTTAAATTGAAAATATCTTTGACATTTTTAGATATAGCCAATAAATAATGTAAACATATATCATAACGTGATATTTAGGGTAAAATGTAAATCAGGATGTTTGTGAACTAGGATTTGAAATCATATTTTAAAACAATAAGTACAGTAAAAACAGTAAATAAACTAAGAGTCAGTGTGAAATTAACTTTAATTCAGATAAGTTGAGTGATATCTGAGAGGAAAAGTTTGACACAACGGGAAAATGAAAATAAAACACAACGGCTGAAACGTTCCTATTCCTTTTAGGCTCCAAAATTCTTGATCATTTTAATGATAAACCGCAAAATATGAGAAATTTTTTTAGCAGATGCATCATGTTGACAGATCCGTTTTTTAACCCAGTTTAGTGAGTCAGTCAGTTAGAAACAACTCCTGTATCGGTCACATGACTTTCTGGAAACGACACGCGCACCGATACAGTGTTTAGCTCTATGGGCTCCACGCATGCACCGACGCATCGCTGTTGCTGGACCCATCACTAATGTGGAGAGCAGATGTTCATCAGATGATGACATCACTGTTTGCTCATCATGTTTTAGTCTGTGTTTATCATCCAGATTGTCTGATTTCATTAGAACTGACTTTATTTCTCCTCTAATCACAGACTTGGTGGCTGTTTGCTCTCTGAGGCTGAATGTGAAATTTTGGCCTCAGCTCTGAAGTCCAACCTTCATCTGACTGAAGTGGAAATAGAGAAGATCTATGGAGATGGAATCTATGAATACTTTAGAGAGTGTGAAATGAATCATGTGTGTGAGATACTGGAGAGTTCAATCTGCAAAGTGAAGAAACTGAGGTGAGTTTTCTCTGTTTATTCAAACCAAATCATTCACTGATACTTTAATGCTGATTTTAATTCATCATTTTATTCTAATATATTTTCTTTAAAAACAGCTGCTGTTTAAATGTCAGAATAAAATTTCTCAGACTTTTTACCTTGTAAATGAATTATTTTCCTCTTCCAGATGTTCTAAATATTGAACTTTATTTTCCAGATGTTCAAACTTTCAAATGTTTTGGACTGATGGACAAAAATGAGGAAAATCAGTCAAATGATGTTAAGTAATGATGGAGATGTTTCAGTTTGATTTGGGAAAGATTCAGATGATGAGACAAGATAAGATGGCTTTATTTCTCATTTCTGATTCACATCTTTCCATCCAGAATGACATTTGGTTCCTCTAGAGTAGAACCAGAACCACAAACATGTTAGAATAACTAGAATAAAATAAGATGATCTAAAAACTAATGTTTAGGAAGAAAAGACAAAGACATGAAATCTTTGTCCTGAAGCTGCTGTTCTGTTGGACCGGGTCAGAGAGAACCCGTCCTCTTCAATCTGTCAGCTGTCAGAGTCGCTTGGAGACACAAATACTTAGTTACTGAACTTAAGCAGCTTTTTATTTCTGACTTATTTACTTCTTATTTACTTCAGTATTTATTTTTCAGAATCCTTTTTCCTTTTCCTTCCTACATTTGAAGCCAAATATCTGGACTTTCCTCTCCTTCCTTTCTCCAAACTGGCTCATTTCTTCTCTCCATATTGATAACGACATGACGTAAGAGCTGCAACAAAACAGGGAAAATCAGGAAGAGAATCTGTCCAGTTGGAGCTCAGTTAGTTTGTAGAAAAACACTGATAGAGACATGGATGAAGACAGGAGGCTGGAGACATTGATGGATCAGATTGTGAGACGCAGACATTGCTGTTTTCTCAGCAGAGAAATTATTTAGAAGAATCAAGTTTTTAAAAGTCATTTTTTATCTGTTAAGGCAAAAACTTTATTTTAATTTAGTAGAACCTGAAAGTTTTACAAAAAATTAACTTTTTCATTTTTTTCTTCAACATTTTTTAAAGTAGCTAAAAGATGAGAAAAGCTTTTCACTGAACATCATTAAGCTTCTGAGTTTTTTAGAAAAACTTTTATCTGAATCTTCGATCATCTAATAAACAAACATTTTTAAACTCAGAGAATTTTAGAAACTGATTAAATACCGTAAATTCTCTAATATTGGCCTGTATTCCATTAGCGGCCGGGACTCTAACATTGGCTGGTCTCGCTGTCAGAGGAGGTAAATAATGGCCGGCCTCTCATACAGGCCGGGGCTATAAACGTTTTTTCTGGGCATACCTCAACATTATACTTGTGGTAGTAACATACAAGTGCCACAGCCCTGCGCTGCTGGACGACCGGCCCTGACTGCTGCCCATCTGCGCGAGGAAGAGAACAGACACGCAGCATAACATGAGGAGGAGTGATGAGGAGATTAAAGGGAGAGATGAAGAGGAGGAGGAAACTGAGGAGGAGGATCAAACAGAATTGGAGGATTTTTTTTTTTTTTACTTCAAACCAAGCGAGACATGGTAACTGTACTTTTTCAATAAATGAACCTAGTGTTTTATAGGTTCAAATAGACACAAAATCTCATTTTTATTCATTCCACTGGTAGTCTGTTTTGCTCAAATAGCAATAGAGGCCTGTCTCTAATTCTGGCCTCTTTCCTATAAAGGCCTGGACCGCGATGCACTTGAGTGAAATAAAGGCCCGGGCCTATATTAGAGAATTTACGGTAGATTTTGTTGAATCTCTGTGTTTATCACGTGCCGGGGTCACATATTCTGCTGGAATGTTTTAAAGGAAAGTTTTAATCTGCATCCTGTTGAATTCAGCTAAAATCTTTGATTCTTTATTCAGATTGATGAACTGCAGTTTCTCAGAGATCAGCTGGGCTTCTCTGGGCTCAGCTCTGAAGTCTAATCCATCCCATCTGACAGAACTGGACCTGGGTGGAACCAACCTGGACCCTGGAATGAAGGAGCTCAGTGGGTTTCTCCAGTATCCCCTCTGCAAACTACAGACATTGATGTAAGATGTAGTATATTTGTTTATTCTAACATTACAGTGCAAATCTCAGTGTGAAGGTCAATCAGTGAGCTAGTAAAGGATCAATAGGCTGCTTTTTCAGAAGATGCTGCATGAACACATGTCCAACAACTGGGAGGAAAATGAAAAAGGGAGAATTATCAGCCAAACTGTTAAATCACATATTTTTTTTCTATGCAGATGAATCATCAAATGCAGACAGATTCTTTAAAGGGGTAATAGAATGATTCTATAGGGTATTTGGTCATTAAAGTCTCTGAATAGGGTGTGTAACATTGGTTGGGGTGAAAATGGCATATTAGCTGTTCTATGAGCCCTAATGCAGCCTGGTTAAAAGCCCCAGAATGAAACGACAGGTTTTCTTCCTTTTATGGTTTGATCATGAATATTTAGATGAGCTGTGCTCTGATTGGTTGGTTTACAACGAGGGAAGCTGCTGAGCAAAGTCTCAGTCCTGCTTTTCATACCTAAAAAAATGTCCGGGGGAATTTCAAAACTGTCCAGGATTTTGGTTGACTACAGTGCAGCAGAACCGAGCCATCAGCTCCGGGGCTGGTCCGGGTCCGGTAAGGCAGGAGGGAGGAAGCATACCATTGGGGGGGATGCAAACCCTCACCGGGTCGGGTTCGGTCGCTCTGTCCCCGCCTGGCTCCGGACCCGGAGCTGATGGCTCGGTTCGAATGCCCGGTCCGGTCCAGTCAGTGAGCATCCAACTTCGCAGGGATCTTCTGATACAGAGAAATAATCCATGCCTGTCAAGTCATCTGATCCTTGGATGATGATTTGGGTAAAGTGCTGACTCAGCATCTGGCCTTCAGAAAGGTCAATATTTCAGATGCAGTAACTGTCACACCTTGAATAAAATGAATATAAACCCACACAGAAAAATATTATAGGCTTTTATTTTATGATAAAATTATAAACCATGAAAGTAGCTGAAAAAGTTCAGTTTGAACAAGTTAAAGAAACATGAGTTTTAAATCACTTCCTTGTTGTCTTCAGTATCTCAGTAGTGCAGTTTGTCTGAGTTCCCCTTTTATTGATTATAACATTTTATTTCTAAGAACCTTCAGTTCATCCTATGGATAAACATGGTACTGAATAAAATCATAAAAAGATCAATAACAGCAAATCATTAGAACTTGCATTGACTTGGATAGACATAAAAGTCAGAACTGAATGAAAGGATGAGGTTGTGTTTGGCCTTTGATGGCCATCATGGGGCGCCCAGGGAGCAATCGGGGGTTAAAGGTCTTGCTCAGGGACCCAGAGTGGTAGTCTGTGGGAGAGGGTTTCAAACTCACAACCTCAGGATTCCAAGCCCTATGCCCTAACCACTAGGCCACCACTCCCCACTGCATTCAAAGAATCAGACAAGCCTTAACCCACTTCAGCTTTTAGTCTCTTTATCATCTTATTTTGAAACATATTGGGACTTTTTGATAAACATAAAGCATCAAGAGGCGAACTTCCCAACCAGACTGACAATGGTGAGCAGATCCATGATTCAGTTTCTGGAAATATTGGAAGATAAATAAAAAGAGGCTCCAAAAGAAGACAAGACCCAGAGCTGAAGCAGGTCAGACAGGGGAGGCTGCAGGACACAGAGAAAAAGGCTCCTCCTCCTCCACTGAGAGCAAGTCAGCTCTCAGTGGAGGAGGAGCCTTTCCTGCCGTCCCTCTCCTGGCCTCAACAGCTGAACAGTTAGATGCTGATCCTACAGCATCAATAACAAATATCCACGTTGGTCTGGAGGGAGCTGCCATTCAATGGGCATGAACCCCAGAGCTGAATACTAAATGGGTGATGTGTCTAAATCAGCAACACTGCTGCCCTCTATAGGAGGGAATGAGGAAGGTCAACTATCCCTCTATCTCCCCTCTTTAAATAAAATATACACTATATACTTGTTATAAGAAACAATTGATAAAGGAAAAAAATATTAATATTTAGTTTCAACAATAAACAATAAATTGATGTTAATCAAACAAATAAATTTTACCTAAATTATGCTTTTAAATTTATTCCTTCATTATGTTTTAAAGTAGCTAAAAGATGAGAAAAGCTTTTCACTGAAGATCATTAAGCTTCTGAGTTATTTAGAAAAACCTTTATCTGAATCTTTGATCATCTAATAAACATTTTTAAACTCAGAGAATCTTAGAAACTGATTAAATAGATTTTGTTGAATCTCTGTCAAATGGTCAGATCCTAAAAACACATTTGATTATTTTATTCATGATGAGAGATTTCCAAAACATGAGATAAACATTGATTGAGCTGTAGCTTCCATTTTTCCTGCTCTGAGTCAGTATTAAGGTTTAATCTCTATCTTTGGTCTGGATTGATCCGTTTCTTTCTGTTCCTGTGATCAAAGACGCACCAGGCTCCACCTCTGCTCTGAAATCAGCCCTGTTCTCCTGCTGCAGGGTTATTTGCTTCTTGTTGTTTTTATTTCTGTGTAATGATGGAGGCAGGCCCACATCCCTGGACTGAGCAGCTGTTCTGCCTGTTAAAGGAAAGACAAACTGCCAGTCCGTCCCTGCATGGAGCTCCTAGTTCACAGTCACGGTGCCCCGTGTGCACAAATACCAATTTCTCTGTCTGGTTTTTTCTCCATTCATTGTCAGGTTATGGTGGAGCAGGCAGCCATTATATGAAATACAGTGAAAGTTATCTAATTAGTTTCTGATCAAAATGTTTAAATGTGATGTGATTGTGGGCCGCCACCATCACACTCATCAGTTCAGGCTGATGAAGGCCCTGTCCTGCAAACCTTACTGTCATTTTCCACCTTTGGAGCCGTTTGAATAGAGAGTTTTGTTCCCGTAGTTTCTAGCGACTCCTCTGGGCTTTATCTCCATCTCAGTATGGTAGCAGCTGCGTACCGGTGTTATACTATATTCAGTGACCCTGGCCAAAGAGAGAATGTGTTCAGTGATGCTGCATGATTGGGCCAGCACAGTGTCAGTGAGGAAAATAACCAATGGTCCTTGGACTAGTGTTTATCACGTGCCGGGGTCACATATTCTGCTGGAATGTTTTAATGGAAAGTTTTAATCTGCATCCTGTTAAATTCAGCTAAAATCTTTGATTCTTTATTCAGATTGGACGGCTGCAGTCTCTCAGAGATCAGCTGGGCTTCTCTGGGCTCAACTCTGAAGTCTAATCCATCCCATCTGACAGAACTGGACCTGAGCAGAACCAACCTGGACCCTGGAATGAAGGAGCTCAGTGGGTTTCTCCAGTCTCCCCTCTGCAAACTACAGACATTGAGGTCAGATGTAGTATATTTGTTTATTCTAATAACATTACAGTGCAAATCTCAGTGTGAAGGTCAATCAGTGAGCTAGTAAAGGATCAATAGGCTGATGATTAGAAGAGCAGGTTACGACTCTCAGAAGGAGGACAGACATGTTTAGAAAATAAAGGCCTCAGTTTGTCTTAAACTCCCCAACATACGGAGTGACTACTGGTCTGGGTCTGGGTTTGGGTTCTGCTGGAGTCCTGTTTGGGTTTCTGTCTGCTTTGAGGAAAGCCCTAGCCTGGGTGCCAGTCAGAACTTAGCCCCGCCCACAAGGTTTGAGTTCGGGGAAGTTCGGTCTGGCTCTGCTCCATAGTAGCGCGAGTATTAAAGCCCACTGTCAGGCGATCCAATCAAATTGTCAGGGCGGACTTTATACGATGATGGACAGATGATCAAGAAAAACGTAATCAACCACGTGACCAAAGCGCGCTTGGATGACAACAACAATGGCTGCCGCCGGAGAGTTTGGGTGAGTAGATTCTGCTATTAGGTCTGTTCTAGAAGATATCGACAGCAAATTAATTTTAAAAGAGGAACAGAGAAACGCGATCAAGGCTCATCTTCTTATTCTAGGCGTGCAACTGCACGCTTTGATTTTTGTGGACAACGACTATGCCTCGCTTATCATACGTCACGCACTCCGTTGCTCTTATTGGTTGTAGGTCTATCCAATTGAGTGCAGAGGAATTTTTTTTCCTGGTTCGTTCGAAACACGCCCCATAATCACAGCTCTATGGAGCAGTATCAGACTCATATTCTGACTAGAATTGAGTCGGACTACGTCAGGCTAGGAAAGCCCAGTTAGGAGAAGCACATTGCTCTAGGGCCCGTCTGGTGTGTGATTTCTCCTTCTCTCTGCTGAAGTCAGCAGGTCTTTATTGGAGCAGCAGCATGTTGGCATTAATATCAATGAGAGCTCTTTAACTGGTTCTGTTGGACTGTTCTAACCTGCATCCTGTTGGATCAGCTCACATCTTTCTATTCTTTATCCAGATTGATTCACTGTGGTTTGACAAAGATCAGCTGTTCTGCTCTGGTCTCTGCTCTGAAGTCAAACCCCTCACATCTGGAATACCTGGACCTGGAGAACAACAACCTGAAGGATTCAGATGTTCAGCAGCTGCAGGATCTTGTAGAGAGTCCAGACTACAAACTGAAGCGTCTGTAAGTAGATGGTTGGAGTGAGTCCAGCTGCTCCACAGCTGCTCTGAACAGGACTGAAGTCCCTGCTGCTCTTTATCCTGGATGTGCTGCATCACTGACTGACAGCTGATGGAGAGAGAGGGGCTGGAAACACTCATTGATCTCCTCTGTTCATCCTTCTTCTCTCTGCAGGTGGAGGTGATGATCTTAGTAGAGGAGAGAAGCTGATCTGTGTCCTGATGATCCACAGAGGTTGAAGCTGCAGCAGTTTGAGTTTAAAGAGACTCTGACTGGATCCTGATGATGAACTCTGAGTTTAGAGATTTTTCTCCTCTTTATTTGATCCTGTCTGTCATTCAGTGTCTGATATTGTTTTTCTCTTTGGAACAATGGAGATGAAATTCAAACTAAGCTCCATTTAGTGGCTCCATGGAGGTTTGATCTGAATCTGATCAAACTGTAAAGTTGATCTTTTTTCTCTCTGATTCATTTTCAGTCTGTAACCCAGAAATCTGAAATAAAGCTCAATTCTAAAGTTTTCAGGCTGCATGTTTGCTTCATTGTGATGCAGTTTTTGGATGTTTTTGATTCTATTCCAGATGTTTCCTGCAGATGTTTGGGCAGCTCTGCTCATCTGATCTGTTGCTGCAAACAGCTCAGTGAGGTCCCACTACAACACTTAGACCCAGAAAGGGAACAATCGTTCTGCTGACTAATGGCAGCTGAGATAAGAAGGATGGTCAGAGCCAGAGAAGGGTGCAGGTGGAGAAGGCAGGCACATCAACAGTTACTTATCAGAAACTGGAGGAAATGTGATTGTATTCTATTTTATTGTAAGTCATAGATCGGAAAGTTTTTCTACTTTTTGTTTTTCTTGCTTTAATAAAAAGCCTTTTGTCATCGTTTGTCTTGTAGTATTTTCTGATGAATTTGGTCCCACACTTTACTGAATCACTCAAAACGCATCCAAATGATAAGTCTGTGCAGAACGTACAATGAGTGAGGGGCGATGGAGGCTGGAGAAGGCTGGACCTGTTTGAATCTATTACTGCGCTCTTCCAGCCTCTTTATTTTCACGGCCTCAGCTGCTGAAATCGAACACACCCTTTATTAAGTGATTCATTTAATGAGGAACACCTGAGGCTCTAGTGAGGTTTAAACAAAGCTTCTCTGGTTAAAACAAAGAGCCCACATGGTTAAAAAAAGAACAAAAAGCCACTTTCACAGATCGTATTTTTCTGGCAGGTTTTAATTGAAGCAAAACACAGAGACATGCTACGAAGTCTAGTTCCCGGGTGATGATTCCTTATTATTCAGTCATTTTTTTGGGTCTGCTCTCCTGAATCTAGACTGGATTCATTTGACTGATGCTCATTTTTCTGTATATAATAAGTTGATCAGACTTTGTCTGTATTGGTTCCTTCGTTTCCACTGATGGGAAGATATAAACGGATCATCTAACATGGATAACTCTCAGTTTTCTTGTCTCTGTAGGTTGATCAGGATCAGTCAGACCCATAGTACCTGGCTCTGGGGACTTATTTCTAGGTATCAGTTTTTAAAAGGATTTTTTACTACCCTGTATCCCACAATAGTTTGGTATCTAAATCAATATGGATTAAACATATCACTGTTTGACAACTTTTTCATCTTGTAGTGAGCTTTGAGCAGCTTTAACATGGAGCGTACTAATCACTCTTATCTATAAGATTTTCCTCTCTGCTCAGAAACATATATTTATTTCCAAATTAAGGAAATGTTCAGATTGCAAATGAAGATCTTTTTTTTTTTGTCCTGAAAGACTTTTTCAGGTTGATTAGTAAAAGTGTTGACTGGTTCTCTCTGCTCTTCATTAAAGGACAGCAGCCTCCTTTAATGACACTTGATGAAGCTGTTGCACTGGTTTTAAAATCATGTGTGTCTAATTCTTATTGTTTTGATTTAATTTATGAAAAACTTTAAGAAAGTCTGTCAATTATTGTTATCTGTTCAATTATTTAATCTTTTTGTTATTTGTCTTTTATGAAGTTTATAAGAGAAACCTGAAGGTTCTCATTAATTAGTCCATCATTTATGGCTGTGGCCACCAGGGGGCGCATTACACTGGAGCTAATGATGGAGTCTGGAAGGAGAAGAAGAGGATGATGATGATTAGAGATGATATCGGTCTCCGCCAGGTGACGTCAATTGTTTACCTCGGGCGCGGTGCATCGTGGGAAAACCACCATATTAGGCGTAAAGTCGAGATAAGCCACACGCGGCTGTTCTTTCGGCACAATTATTTACCAGAAATGACACGATCGTGTTGTGTGAGAGGCTGCCAGTCCCGGTGTCTTGCCAAGGTAGTTATCCCTGCGAAAATTTGTATCCCCTCGTCGGGATCGCGCACGGAGTAGGAAGAACAAACCGAGTTAACTCCACTTCAATTCCAACGTGCAGAACTTGAAATTTGAAAGGTTTTACATGCATGAAAGTTGAGCTTTACTGTTTTATTCTTTACTTCACATGTTATAGCAGAATATCGCCAGTGATATTGATCTAAAACTAATAATAAAACACAAACGTTGGCTTGAAAGCTGGTCGCTGACAGCAGTGTCTACTCCTCCCTCTGAAAGCAAACAGATCCTTGTTCTTTTCCACATGTTCATTAAAAAAATCTCTCATTGTTTCACAGTGTCCAAATGTTCTCATCCCATTGAAAACTGTTGTAAACCGTATACTTGCAATAAAAATGAAATAGAAAATGGAGTGCACGTGTAATCATTAAAGACCATATGCCAGAACTGGCAATATGGGATAAAATAAAACCTGCTGTAATCTGTTCCCCCTGTCTAAATCAGGCAAAAAAGGCCCCAGCTTTTTCATTTTTGGCTTATAAACATCTTTTATGATGACAACTAACCCCTGAAACTTTGGAGTAGATTGACCTTTATTTCTTAAAGTTAATAGGGGGGAACAAATTATAGCAGGCCACCTGCTATAATCTGTTCCCCCTGTCTAAATCAGACAAAAAAGGCCCCAGCTTTTTATTTTATTTTGGCTTATAAACATCTTTTATGATGACAACTAACCCCTGACACTTTGGAGTTGATTGACCTTTATTTCTTAAAGTTATAAGGGGGGAACAAATTATAGCAGGCCACCTGCTATAATCTTTTCCCCCTGTATAAATCAGACAAAAAAGGTCCCAGCTTTTTCATTTTTGGCTTATAAGTATCTTTTATGATGACAACTAACCCCTGAAACTTTGGAGTTGATTGACCTTTATTTCTTAAAGTTACAAGGGGGGGACAGATTATAGCAGACCACCTGCTATAATCTGTTCCCCCTGTCTAAATCAGGCAAAAAAGGTCCCAGATTTGTCATTTTTGGCTTATAAGCATCTTTTATGATGCCAAAAATGAAAAAGCTGGGGCCTTTTTTGTCTGATTTAGACAGGGGGAACAGATTACAGCAGGTGGCCTGCTATAATTTGTTCCCTCCTTGTAACTTTAAGAAATAAAGGTCCATCACATCCAAAGTTTCAGGAATAAATTGTCATCATAAAAGATACTTATAAGCCAAAAATGAAAAAGCTGGGGCCTTTCTTGCATGATTTAGACAGGGGGAACAGATTACAGCAGGTTTTATTTCATCCCATATTGCCAGTTCTGGCAAAATGGGATGAAATAAAATGGCTGATGTTAGAACACAAACTGTTTATTAAGGATAGTACAACATAGATAAATTGCAAGTTACTATAAACACAAATATAGATTTAAGTACCAAATTTCAACGAGGAAAAAATTATTTCCTTCTGCATATACAGTAGTTTTTAATGATTACACGTGCACTCCATTTTCTATTTCATTTTTATTACAAGTATATGGTTTACAACAGTTTTCAATGGGATGAGAACATTTGGACACTGTGAAACAATGAGAGATTTTTTTAATGAACGTGTGGAAAAGAACAAGGATCTGTTTGCTTTCAGAGGGAGGAGTAGACACTGCTGTCAGCGACCAGCTTTCAAGCAAACGTTTGTGTTTTATTATTAGTTTTAGATCAATATCACTGGCGATATTCTGCTATAACATGTGAAGTAAAGAATAAAACAGTAAAGCTCAACTCTCATGTACGTAAAACCTTTCAAATTTCAAGTTCTGCACGTTGGAATCGAAGCGGAGTTAACTCGGGTTGTTCTTCCTACTCCGTGCGCGCGCCCGACGAGGGGATACAAATTTTCGCAGGGATAACTACCTTGGCACGACACCGTAGCCTACGGTAATTTCACATTCTGCTTACTTTTTTCCATATAGTCAGAGAGACAAACTCAATCCTTTAGTCCTTCGTTTAGCTATACTGCGGTTGTTTACACTACGCCTTTACGCCAAAAATGGCGTCTTAGCAACAAATGTCACGTGACTGACGGAGACCGATAGATGTTCAGGTTGAACTAGATCCGAATCTAAACACCAGAACTTTGTCTAACTGATGGAAAGTTAATGAAGTCAGTGATCATCTGATGGAGAAATGGAGTCACTGGATGTTTTATTAGAGAGCGGACCGCCTAAAAAACCAAAGAACAATTCATTATTTTAACTTTCCCTTAGGAACAGCGACACTAATTCATTTAAAAAGGTTTTTAGTTTCTTCCAGACATGTTTATGTCCTGTTTAATTTAACATTTTAAAGCCTTCAGGGAGTCTTTCACTGTTTGTTTTGTATTAAATTAGGCCTAATCGACATTTAGTTTTTAAAGCTCAAATTGTTCATTCTTAATCAAGTGGGAATGCTTATGCATTCCCACTTATTGTTGTTCACTTAAAATTTGTCTGACTCTAACTAGTCCCGCAGTTTTCAACCGATTTCAACAATTTTGGTATCAAAACGTTCAGCTTGTTCAGGAGAATTCTGCTATGTCTTTTGGTAAAGATATTTTTTGTAGTTTTCAAGATATTCTGCTTTTTCTGTGTTTTTTTTTGTCCCATTGAAATGCATGTAGAATTCTTAGATTTCAGCAAAATTCAGCTAAAACTTTATCATCTTCGACCTTTAACTACTTCAGCATACTTTCAGCTCGAAACACCATTCAACTTTTAAAATGTTTCCGTATCTTTCTGCTATTACTATTTATCTCAGCTTTTTGCTAACTTTTACAGTTTTGCTTCAGTGAAGCTTCAAACTTTAAAAGAAATTTTAAAGATTTTCAGATTTATAATGGAAGTCTATGGACGGAATTCTTCAACTGCTAGAGTGCGTGCTCTAGCTTTTGAGCTGTTCTGGTTTTTCCGAACAAGTTGTTCTCAGTCCCTCATTTTTCACTCAGTTGAAATAAATTATACATCAAAACGTAGGGATTTTTGTCAGGATTCAGGAAATATAACCCTCATTTGTGTGGCATTTACGGTTTTCCGACAGTTTGGCCCAGACCACGAAGAAGTCCACACTTCCTCCATAGAAATCCAATGAGAGCTCTCTGAAAATCCGAACTGAAAATTCAAAACAACAGACTTTTTCGTATCGCTCCCATTCGGGAACCGTTCGACGTAGCAACATGAGCCTTGTGGAAGTTGTTCCTCAGACCTTCCTAGCACTCACATTGAAGGAAGTGTGTCGATATCTTTTATCGTTTAGCTAGGAAAAAGGTTTGTTCAGGGGTAACAAATCTGTCCGAAACCCAAAATCAAGATTTTGACAATTATACACTTTTTTACATCCTCACCACGCCTAGACCAAATATTGTAGAAATATGAAAGTTACACCAGTTGTAGTCCAAAGATGGCTGACGCTCACGGTGAAATAATTTTTTGAATACCTATTATGGTTTTGGCTCACCGCTCATTTGTTCGGAGGGGAAGTTTTGCTTTTGAGAGCTCAGCTCTACCATGGAACTCTATGTTATTTAATGAGACCAGCAGGATTTACAAACCTTTATATTTCTCCTTCCCATTAAGGTTATGAATGAGCTACAGCCATGAACGTTATCCCAATTGGAGAAAAATAATAGCTGTCGCTTAGACTGAAAGAATTTTCTAGATACCATTTACGGTTTGTCTTCAGCACTCGTTTGTTTGGAGCCGATTTTCCCATTCAAAAAAGCCTGAGAGGAAAGGAACGAAAGTGATGCACTTTTCTCTCTTTCACTGACAGGCTTATTAAGCGTTGTCAGGGTAACCAAGCTTCAATGAGATTTGACCTCTGCCACTTTAAACAACACATTTTAATCTAATGGAGGGACACAGCACTGATTTAACATTAGGAAGTGGATACAATATGACTACTGGCCATGACCCTTCCCTTCACACGCAACCCTGATAGACTTTCAAAATAAGACTCCGGGGACCCTTCAAAATAAAAGCCCCTAAATTAAACTCACATTTTTTTCCCAGCATATGGC